GATCCCACATGCAGACCGGTTCCCGCTCACTGGCTGAGTGAGGCGCGGGAGCAACACCGAGGGTTGTGGTCCCGTTGCCGGTCCCGGTCCGGTGCGGGGGCGACACTGAGGGTTGCGATCCGTTGCCGGACACGGAAAAAGACAAAAAAAAAAAAAAAAAAAATGTGGTGATATTAATCATTTTTTTTCATGGGAAGGCAGTTCAAATCATAAATATGAGTAAAAGAAAAACAAGTACATTACATTTGGAGATCAACTAGAATCTGTATGTTTTGTGTTATTTCAGGGAGAAACATGTTGACGGCATGAATATGGCCCCTCTGAAAATAATGAAGAGATCATTTGTGAAAAAGGCAAAAAGTTTACTATAAAGCATCTTGAGAGCAAATACTCTGACGAGTGTCAAATGTATTTTAACTTTTTATTAGAGAAGTTGGAAGTTTAATTTCAATATTGATGGTATCATTTTCTCTGCTTTGTTCAGAGGAACACACAGAATCAGTTTGTACAAGCATATACAGCAGTTCGGTTGGTGTTTTGTGTCATAAAATCAGTAATCTGTACTTCTAGACTACCAGGTCACCATGCGCTCCTCACGGCTTCGGTGGCACGGCTCACTTCCCAGCGCGATACTTTTTCATGCACTGTGACACAACTACAGCAGGCTTGAAGACCATGCAGATTAACACTGTAGCAAATTGTTTTGATATTTAACAGACATAAAAAGGTTATTTCCTCATATGAAATTCTGAAAATCTGCATAAATATTTCTGTGTAAAATTAAATTAGTTATGTATTTTTTTCAAACTAGAAGTATCAAGAATGCCCACATAATTCATATACACATATATATAGATTTTTTCATTATGCTAAAAGTCTTGATAGTCAAATTATATTCTGTGCCATATATGTATTTAACCAGTATTTATTTGGCATTAGGTTAACTGTGTTTGTATGGGTTAGTCTTAATTGGTGCTTGTGCATCATGCAAACATAGTGCTAGTATTCCTGTTTACTAATCTTGTCATGTGGCAATACTTGGATGATTTTGTTCTATAACAGTGTGAATTAAGGAGTATAAATAAGTTACACATGGTCACATTTACAAACATAGTGCTAGTATTCCTGTTTACTAATCTTGTCATGTGGCAATACTTGGATGATTTTGCTCTATAACAGTGTGAATTAAGGAGTATAAATAAGTTACACATGGTCACATTTAAAAACGTTTTCCAATAAGCACTTCACAATCTTTATAGTGTAATAGTGAACTGTAGTTATCTGGAATTTGCAGAAGCAATTCCTATAAAGGAACATCAGATGTAAACGTTTTTAAACGTGCCTAACAGGGTTCCCCTTTGAGCACTGATGAGTGTTGGCACAGGTACACGGTTCTGTTCTATTTTTCTATTGTTCTAATAATTTTCACAACTTTTATAGGAAATTAGCTTCTTATGGCATGGTAGAGACATGGCACTTACTGATGAGGTAACTTAGATGTAGAAAAATTCTGCAAAATTATTTTTCTAGCAGACCACCACTTCTGCTAATGAATTTGCGGGAGTTTTTTGTTTGTTTGTTTGTTCCTATTGCATGCCCTTGCCGTGAAATTGCTAATGCACTGTGTTTGCTGCAGCTCAAACATGTCCTAATGCATCACAAAGCAGAGTTGATAACACCAAGCTCATGGACTTGTGATGGTGTTTGATAGCATGTTTAAGTTGTATTATCAGTGGTGAAACTCTGTCTTACTGAATAGTAAATTTTTGTGGATTTGTAGGTACTTTTGGTTGGCCAAGGAAATTCAATATTCAAACTGTTAAACTGAAGTATGTAAGTCATACCAAGTCTCTGTGGTTTCAGGTAACATCTTGTCTACACATAAAACACAAAAGAAAACAGCTTTCGTCCATGGCGTTTGTGTTTGGAAGTTTGGGAGTGATCTTCTGATACTTTGTGGTTTTGCTGTGTCAGTTTGCATTTTGGAGTTTCATACTACTGTTGCTGGTCTGCGGTCCATCTCGGCTTCCAATTTCACCATCTGCTGCACCTCCTTCGCCTACAACATCAGAAACATGGCCTTACATGTTGAAATCTTCTCCTGAAGGCACTTATCAACCCCGGCCTCTCTCCTCCCATGAATCTGATGCTCTCACTCTATCCTTGCTACTCAAAGTGTGGTCCATTGACCAGTCACATCAGCATTGTCTAGGACTGTCTTAGAAATGCAGAATCTTGGAGTCAACCCCAGACCTACTGAATCAGAATCTGCATTTTTAACCAGCTCCCCTGGAAATTTTTATGCACTTTAAAGTTTGAGAAGGATTGGTCTATACGGTACCAGGAAAACCACTTGAAAAGAGGTTGAGCCAATCACTTGATACTTGGACTATGTCACATTAAATTAATTTAGTTTCTACAGACTGACATGCTAATTTGACTTTGAGAATAAGTTTTGCTTATGTACAATTTATCCCCCAAATACCCCATAATTTCATTAAAAGTAATTCCCCAAGAATCTAATTAATGGAGAATTTCAGGTGAGAGCATATTACATTGGTTTGGCTGGAGTGTCTTATAAATGAGATGTTACAGAAATATGTAGGGCTCCAGGAATCCAGTTGTCCAAACTCTATCCCTGTGGGCTTACTTACTTACTTACTTACTTACTAAAAAAAATTCATTTTTTACAGACTACGAGGAAGTAAGTGATGGTGAATTTAGTCTTATAAATTAAGATTGTCACTAAGATAACCAGCTGGTTGAAGAGGTAGAAAGGGGTCCAATGGGAGTAGGGTCTGGTGACAATTACTTTGCCACCTAGGGAAAATCAAATAGTTTATTTCAACTTTTGCTTTCCAACTGATAGCCTGGATGCTTTTGCCCAGCCCAGCACATGTATATTTTGGATGAATAAGTAAAGAAAGCACTCCTTTCCTTTTTTTAAGGACATACCACTTTGAAATAAAAAGCACTTAAAAATGGAAACATAATTTATAAAGATATAAATCAGAGGAAGATTTGAAGTGCTCTGATGTCACTTCATGATTGCTTAGGTATTCCAACTAAATGGAAGGTCGATGGGAGGGTTTGGTCAGCTCTAAAGATCATATTAGAAGCATCTAAATCTCTCAAATGAAGTCCTGTGACAAAATTAGTTTAACCCACGAACCGTATAGTGATTTTTTTCTTATTATTATTTTTATGTTGTGACTTAATTTCATTTTACTGAGATGGATATAACAACACCATCTTCCTGTGTAAATTTGGGATGGATTTCCTCTATCCAGATATACATATATATATATTTTTTATGCCTGAAGTAAAGTAATACTCTAATAGAGAAATGAAGAAATGGAGAAAAATATACAAACATGAAACTATGACACAAACAGTATTCGTAAGAGATGACAGTGAAACATTATCAGCATTGGAAATTAAATACTTCCATGTTCAGTAAACAGTAGTAAAAGACTCCACACACTTCTCTCCCTTTAGCATTTGAAGACAATATTGCACACAGTTTAGAAGTAAGAATTATATGACATTAAAAGATTATTCCAAGAGCTTTTATGAGCAAGGTGACCATTCATTCCCATTTGCCTGGGACAATTCCAATTTATTCCTGTAGCCCAGGCTACGAGGAACAGTGCTCCATTTCCCTCTCTAAACTATCCTGGTTTGGACAATAAATTATATGGTCACCTTACTTATGAGAGGTGATTAGGGTCCTTGACAGACTGGACTTAGCAGAGAATGTGACAGGAGTCACTATATAACGTTTCTATATGCAGACCCTACTTTCTGTCATTAAAAACCATCAACAACTCTTAGTGGGGTACTTTAAAAATGAATTGGAGTCATATGAACATTTGTGAATGATCTGACTCTGTGACCCAGTCTCAGCTGTGGTCAGTCCACATGACACAACTGTACATCACTGTTGTGTTTGATGTCTGGGTATGTCTTCATTACCAGGATCTGTTTCCCAGATCTGCAGTTGAAAATGTTGGCTAAAAATGCCATCAGAAATAATTCTCTAAAGATTTGGGGCATTTTGGTTTGAATATTACATCAAAAATCCAAGGATGAAATAGTCAAGCTTTAAAATCCAAACCCTTAAGGTATTTGTTAGTTATGACCAGATGTGAATCATAAATGGAAACTGCACCGAGAATGTGGATGTAGTCGAGAAGGAAAGCAACGTCTTGCTTTGAGAGTTTCAGTCCTACCTTGCGTTTGGGACACTGCATGACAGGATTTCAAAAGCTGTTTGTACAAAAATAGTAATGTCAAAATTGAGTCATACATACAAAACAAAGAAAATAAATGAATATCGAAGTGAACTTGAAAAATGAATGCAAAACCATATACAGAAAAGCAAAAAGCTAAGAATAAAACATGTACATGCCCATCAGTGACAAACTTCCCCCAAGTTGATCTCAACAGAAAAAAAAAAAAAGAACAAAACAAGCAACCGATGCCTATCAGCCCAGATAGCACCTCTCTTCTGTGGCAGCAAGTGGAGAACCCGACTTCTAGCAAAACCCTTTGTCTCTCTTTATTAAAATGATAAGATTGATGACAAAAATCAATTTTTAAGACTTGAGTGTGACAGTAATGGAGTTGTTAATGTTTGAAATGGTACATGTCAAGACGGATGAGATACTGTGTAGCTGGGAGGTCTATGGGAAAGCTGAAGTCGGAAAAAATCCTGACCTTCAGAGTTTTAAGTGAATAATTGCCTGACCAAGTAGACAAAGCCATAAAGTGGCTTACAAAGGAGATACAGGCTTAGGATCCAGAAACATGTTGACACTTGAGTTGTTTCTGCCAGTTGCCTCAACACTGGTCTAGTTAATAAGTAGATATATCCCAGGGTTTTCTCTTGGGGTGAGGGTTGGGGTTGTAGGACTTTACAGGAGTAGGGTCACAGGAAAGCACTAAGAAACCTTAAAGAGGAATATTATGGGAGAATGTTTAAATTAATTTATCTTTGGCTTAGAAATGGAAAAAGAAGTCTTGGGGTTTCACAATCGTTTGGGAGATTGTTCTAGAAGTTTGGAATTGTCTGGAGACTAGGATCAGTTTTTTGCTAACAAAATGTTTAATTGGCTATGAAGGGAGCCAGGTCTGGTCTTGTATGAGGGAGGGAAGAAATGGAGCCACTCTATCTTTTGCATTGTGCCTATGATAGGGTTTTACCACTCAGAGTAACTGTGAATTGAGAGCTTTCTGACCTTTAAATTCCAAAAAATATATGTACTAGAAAGATCTGGGATTGAATTTGTTATTGAACAGGCCATATTTGTGTAGGCAACTTAACACAGAAATTCAAGTCCAAATTCTACATTTGCCACAAGCATCAATATGATATCTTGAATTTCTTTTCCTTGAATTTTATTAAATCTTCATCAGCTCTCAAGTCTTTTCATGTTCTGTAGTTTCCTTAGCTTTTGTGACTCAAAGTATCAGTTGTGGGTGGTAGACATTATTCATGATACATTATAAGACATTATATGAATTTTTGGAACAAAAAGCCAGCATCTTCCCAACATGCTCCAATTGATACAGCTATATCTAATCTAGTATTTTAATGCAAGAACTCCGGTGTGGTTTGAATTACCCATCTAATAGCATAAAAGCTCAAAGGGACCAGCATCTTCCCAACATGCTCCAATTGATACAGCTATATCTAATCTAGTATTTTAATGCAAAAACTCCGGTGTGGTTTGAATTACCCATCTAATAGCATAAAAGCTCAAAGGGATTTTTTTTCATACTTTGGCTCTGAAACTAGAAACACTAGACAACTGTATTCTCTAGCTCTGATATACACCACTATTGTAGTGATGAGTAATTTTTAGCACATTTAAAGTCTTTAGTCAAACTTGTTGCTAAGCAACACAATAATTTCTAAGTAGTTTCTTAATTTAGTTAACTAAAACATAACTGTGCCTTACCTTTCATTGTTCCCTCCTTCTAAGAAGGATTTAACAAAAAACAACCTTCTTATCCCCATCCATCCCTGAATCCTTGAAGTGGATTCTAAGGCTTTGGAGACAGTGGCTTCACCGTTTCATATTCCCATTCCCCCTCCCCACCCAGGAACACTTCTTGAGAAGTGCTTTAAGAGCAAAAACATAAGGTAGGTAGCTTTTACCAGAATGTAATATGTCTATGAGTTGGTGAATGAGTTGAACCTAAGGGAAACTAAACATGCACTGTTCCCCTTGGGGTTCAGTGGACTGTTCATGAATAGGAGCATTTAGCTGAAAAATAAATGTGAAACGTAACTCAGAAGTATATTAATGAATAACATTTCTGTCCACCAAAAAGTAAAAAATCTGAAGCCAGAAGTTGGGTTTATTTGTTACCCCATTGCAATAATACAAAAAATAAAAAAAGATTTTATGGTTTTATTTTACTTTCTCAAAGTTACTTTTTAGTGTAATTCCTATTTAAGTATTCTTCAATGGAAACCATTTACTCCGAAAAAAATATAGCTTAAATAGGACTGCTTTACAGATGGGAGGAAACAGGGAAGAGCAAGGTAGTACAAGAATATATTTCATCAAAACCTCTTTACAGCTTCTAAATTGAAGTAAACTACCTAGAAATAGTAACTTTCAAAGGAACTACACCTAAGCAGTGAAATCTGAACTGAGAAAGACTGAAATTTAAACTACTACTGAGGCTCAAGTTGCCATCTAAGCTACAGGTATTTTATGAAGTTGAAATGACACTGTTGGAAGGCTGATGGCTGTAGCCCATTTGGGATGGAGCCCACAGTGCTATGTGGCAGGTAAAAATACACTTATCTTGGTGTTGGCGAGGCCCAATGGCCCTCCTAAACAGTTGGAGTTCGGATAACTCTTTATTTGCATGTATTTCTTTTTTTTTTTTTTTTTTGTCTTTTGTCTTTTTCCGTGTCCGGCAACGGATCGCAACCCTCAG